GAATGAGTGATTGCCCTTTTCCGATCAAAATATAAACTCATACAACAACAATCAATGCAACTAATTATGCGTAGGGTTCAGATTTGATCAAACACTGGGGGAATCTAGTTGAGGAGAATGATCTCCAAATCCTTCATTATTTCAACGAGTACTCCATCTTCTTCCCCATCTTCAGTCCGTACCGAGAAGACCAGCAAGTATTGTGCTTCGTTGCATGGTAAGAACTCATCATCCTGCAAGCATGAAACTTCATTTGTTTTCTCAACTTTAACACGTGATAGTGGGAACGGCAACAGAAAACTTAATCAGGGCCATTTTTAGGAGGGTCCTCTAGATTTATAATATTTTGGATCTCAAGAATTAGGTGAAGAAAACGATTGATCGAAATTTTTTTTACCGTTCTTGAGTATATGACTTCGAATGATAAAATATTCTCCAATAGTGACGCACATGAGGATCAATCATATTTGTTTTCTTTCCTCTTTCATGAGATCTAGAGTAATTATAGTGCTCTCTTTTGAAGAAGGGAAAAAAAGAATAATATCATACTACTTCTATGGATCCCACCACCTCATATGAGACGGACAAAGGTGAAGTTGAAAAAATAGTTTCAGTCCCTAGCTAGCATTTGCTTAGAAAAGTAATAACGTATTTCGTATTAACGTTGGTATTACAATTTGGTATATAATTTGGTTCTTCGTGTCAAAATTTCAAAGTCGAGCCAACATATCATTTGTAATCATATTTACAAAGTCTTCTTGAAGCCGCTTGCCAACATCCCAACAAATGCTGAATTTAATTTATGAGAAAAAGTTTATGTGCGATAAAGAGTATAATCATTCAATATAAACTTTAATTTATTCTATCAACTTACTAATGTGGGATACATTCTTCAACGCTTCCAACTTTCAAATTTGATCGTTTTAACTCGAGTTGTATATATGTAGCCAACTAGCCGTGAATTTTCATTTTAGTGTAGTTGCTTGTTTCAAGTTTTGAACCCATGCAATGCAACTTCAGGCCAATATCAAAATGGAAAGAAAACTCCACATTGGCGGGTGCAGTTCGGTACCGGATCAACTACCAGCATTAACGGCCCCAGATTCTGAGAATTGAATATCAGAGGCTTCAGATTTGACCCCAAACACCGTGGGACTCACCTCCGGAAAGTTTAAGGGAACAAAGCTCACATGGGAGAACGTGGCTACCCTACAGAAATACGCCACGTCATCACGTGGAGGATAGTACGGACCACCCATGTGGTCTAAAGCTAAATAGGCCCGACTCAATTCTCAAGAGATTTTGTTATCAAGAGTTTTTTGGCTTATCTTAATTTCAGTGGGTGCAAAGAGAAAAAGTCCCTTTGTTATCTTCCACAAATCTTCTCAATTTCCAATTGTTGAATTAAATGAATTAGAAAAGATCAAAAAATAAAAATTAATAAAAGATATGTAAGAAATAAAAAGGAATATGTGGATAACATCATCTGTCTACAAATTCAACATACAATAATAAGACCATCAATATTTGAATTCATTTTCGTTTTTCACTTATTGTAAGTGAAAGATCTTTGATTGGAGTTGTATAAATAGAGAATTTGAAGTCTAATTATAAGTGATATGTTATGTCGATGTGATTTAGTCCAAATCTTGACTCTTAATACCATTTTTTTGGTTGAATAAAGTTTAGAGAGAGGGGAGGCTACCTGTCACATCCCAGACTGGCTCCGTTGTAGCATGATATTGTTCGTTTTGGGCCACACCCTCAATATTTGGTTTCTGGGAACTCACATGAGAATTTCCCAGTGGATCACCCATCCTAGGAATGCTCTCGCTTGAACTCGCTTAACTTCAAAGTTCCGATGGAATCCGAAGCCAATAAGTCCCCAAAAGGCCTTGTGCTATATGGAGGTGGTCATGTACATATAAGGCACATCACCCCTCTTCGTTGGTCGATTTGGGATGTTACAATTCACCACCTTAAGGGCCTGACTTCCTTGTCGGCACACTAGCACCGAATGGCAGAGTGACTCTGATACCAAATTGTCACATCCCAGACCGGCTCCGCCGTAGCACGATATTGTCCGCTTTGGGCCATGTCATCACGGTGCTATATGGAGATGGGCATGTACATATAAGGCACATCACCCCCTCTTCGTTGGTCGATGTGGGATGTTACAATTCACCACCTTAAGAGCAACTCCAGCCATGCTCTTTGCTGGGGGGACGAGCTGCAGGAAAGGGCCTGAGGGCCGGTTGGTTCTTCTCCAGCCATGGAGAGCCCGAGTGAGGGTGTGAGCCCGAGTGAGAGAGGGGTGGGCAATTGACAGGCTTGTGGCCCGAGGCCCGTGATGTCAGGCCTGGGTCCAGGCTTTTTTTCTTTTCTTTTTTTTGTTTTTTTGTGTCAGGCGCGTGCCCCTCACTCGCGAGTGGGGGCGCGTTGCCTGACAGGATTTCAGGCAAGTGGCCCGCGCGCCAGTTACCGTTGGGAAGCCACGTGGCTTCCCACAGTCTGTTCGATCCCAACGGCTCTTTAATACGAGCCGTCCGATTTGCAACGGTAATAAAAAAAACTGATTTTATATCAACCATTCGATCTAAGATCAACGATTGATATTAATCTGCTTTATAAATAAATAAATAAAGAGAAAATAGTTTTAAAATTAAGAAAAGTTACCGTTATGACACGTGGCACAATCTGGAGTGTTAGAATTCAAAATTTTTAAAATCCAACTGCAGAGATTAATTATTTGAATAAAAAAATTTAAAAAATTGTAAAAAATCCGAAAAAATTGTCAAAAAATCTGAAAAAAATTTGTAAAAAATTGTTTTTACTTTTCTATAAATACCACTTCTTCTCCATCTACCTTACACCACAATTTCATATTTTCTCAACTACTTTCAATCAAATTCCTATCTTTCTCTCAAAGTTTCAATCCAATTTTTTTCCACAAAATGATTATCTTTCTCAAAAGATAACGACACGTGGCACAATGACATTGGATAAAAATCTTATTGAAATCCATCACTAAATAATTGTTTTTTTATAAAATGACACGTGGCGCAACGAGAACGATTTAAAAAATCTTATCCGAAATTACAAATAATTTTATTTTGTATTATTTAAACAAACAAAAAAAACTAATATTTTATTGCCTATTGCCAGGGGAGAGGGCTCCAAGGGTGGAGATGCAAATGACAATTACTGTTCATTAATGGCAGTTACTGTTCAAAATGGTGGATTCAATAGTGGATTGCCAGGGGGAGGGCTCCATGGGTGGAGTTGCTCTAAGGGCCTGACTTCCTCGTCGGCACACTAGCACCGAATGGCAGAGTGACTCTAATACCAAATTGTCACATCCCAGACCGGCTCTGCCGTAGCACGATATTGTCCGCTTTAGGCCATGCCATCAAGGTTTTTTTTTTTTTTGTGAACTCACACAAGAACTTCCCAATAGGTCACCCATCCTAGGAATGCTTTTGTCCGAACTCGCTTAACTTCGGAGTTATGATGGAATCTGAAGCCAGTGAGTCTCGAAAAGGCCTTGTGCTATATGGACGTGGTCATATACATATAAGGCACATCACCCCCTCTTCGTTGGTCGATGTGGGATGTTACACTACCCATCTTAGTGCCAGAGTATACCACAAGCTTTTTTTTATGACTTACAGGGGGGTCTTGACCTCTTTTTTTGGTTTTTACAGAGCATCACTAAGAGAGATTGCCGACAATGAAACTCGAATTTAAGCCTTGAACTAACGAAGAAAAATAAGCATTATCAACTCAATCAACCTTCATTAGCACTCTTACTACCATTTCTATCAAACCCTAAACACATGTTTTTTAATGCAACCCTAAACACATGCTATAATTAGGGAGAGGAAACTTTTAGCAAAAAAATAATAAATTAAAAAAAGAAGGGTGAGATCGTCGCCAAATTGCCACATGCAACAAGGCACAAAAGTCAATCGGGTATTTATACATGATCCTTGATCTAATTAACTTTTCACACTATCAGAAAGAGAAGAGCTAGATTCAAACTTTACACAAGCCACACATCATTAGATTCTCTTATGTGCTCACCACACCATTCTACGTACTCTTTGCACTCCAAATATAACATGTCAAAATTGTTCAGATGCCTAAAGGGACCTGAGGACCGACGTTAATTTTTACCATTTCACACTTCACTACGAGTTTGTATCTACGTATCTAAAGTTTTGTGTTCGATCTACATTCTTCAAACATTATTTTCAACAGGACGATGGTAATGCGTGATTTGATTTAAGAGAGAGTTAGAGACAAAAACTTAGCGGCAAGGCACTAAAATAAGAAACTACAATATGTCATCGATGGAATGGCAATAACAAGATGCAATAGAATTATAGAAGCTTGCTATTTTTGTGAAATGATATGGAGAAAGAAGGGAAGTTTGTCTACAAATTTACCGCATCATGCCATGCCGACACAACTTTCATCGAGAAAAGTGTCGGTGTACAGTTCGGTAGATAAATAATGTATCTCTTGTTTTCTCTCGCCCTAGGGTTTTGGCTAATATTACACCCTTCTTTTCAAGAATTGCATGTTTCTTTTGGTTCAAAGGTTGGTCATAAACTCTTTGATTAAACATTTTGATTTAGGCTTGGTTTTTTTTTAACTTGTTGGTTTTGGATACACTTATAAAGTCAGTAGGCATCAAGTTCGACTCATAAAATCGTAGAATATATCGTCACCCAAAAACAAAAGCATTATGGATTAGTATGCAAATCAGCAAATTATAGAAGAAATTCAACTATCAAACGTCACATTATAGTTCACAAAGTATGGTCTAAAAAGACAATCTCTAACGTCACTCATTACTTAACGGCAAAACTAGTGTAATGGGACCCTTTGAATCAGAAATGATGGATGGATGGCCCCACATACGATCACATTGTATAATATTGAGGTTCTTAAACCCTTTCGTCCCCTATATATAATCTCACTTTCCTTCAACTTCCTCACAAGTATTCTCTGCCTACTCTGCTCTCTCCCTGCTTTTGTTTCAAGCAGAGAAGTAGAAAGAAATTATGGCAATGCCACTCTCCCTTTTGCTGATCCTCTCTCTCCTCCTAATCCCAACAACCATTTCCTCCTCCCCGGTCAAAGTTCCTGAACTGGTGATGCAACAAGTACAAGAGTATGATCGATATTCAAACACTTGCAAAGTTAAAGATTGGGAAATAATTTTTGCACTCTTGTTTTATCATTATGCACTTTTGCTTTGTCTTCGATTCTCTTTTGATTTACTCAACCCAACAGTTTGAGTAAAAGAGCGTGCAGTGCATGAGAGAAAAAGGGGTGCAAATATCATTTTTCTCATAGTTATTTACTTAGTCTTGCTAACAGATTATTGATATTGTGTTAATATCATCGTCACTAATAAAACGTACGGACATGCTATTGTTACATTTTCGAAAATATCGACACATTATCAACGTCATCATGCACAGAGAGTTTCTGGTTATGTACTCGAGTAAAAGTAGGTAATTACTAACAATGTGTACTTAATTTTGGGTATTGTCTCTTTTTACAGGAGCATCAATGCCTCAAGGAGAAATTTGGGTTATCTTTCATGTGGCACCGGAAACCCCATTGACGACTGCTGGAGGTGTGACCCCAACTGGGAGAAGAACCGCCAGCGGCTAGCCGACTGCGCAATCGGGTTCGGAAAGCACGCCATTGGCGGCAGGGACGGTAAAATCTACGTGGTCACGGACTCAGGCGACCATCCGGTGAACCCTAAACCCGGAACCCTCCGATACGGCGTGATCCAAAACGAACCGCTCTGGATCGTATTCCAGCGTGACATGACGATCAAGCTGAAAGAAGAACTGATGATGAACTCCTTCAAGACCATCGACGGCAGAGGAGCCAGCGTCCACATTGCCGGTGGGCCCTGCATTACCATACAGTACGTGACCAACATTATCATCCACGGATTAAACATTCACGACTGCAAGCAAGGCGGGAACGCCTATGTGAGGGACTCGCCGGAGCATTTTGGGTGGCGGACGCTTTCCGACGGAGACGGGGTTTCTATTTTTGGTGGTAGTCATGTTTGGGTGGATCATAACTCTCTTTCGAACTGCCGTGACGGGCTCATTGATGCCATACACGGTTCCACTTCCATCACCATTTCTAACAATTACATGACGCATCATGACAAGGTCATGCTCTTGGGGCACAGTGATTCCTACACTCAGGACAAGAATATGCAGGTCACCATTGCATTCAACCACTTTGGAGAAGGCCTTGTTCAGAGGATGCCAAGGTAACTAATCAATATATAATTACGGGTCAGTGGAAAGGTGAATTGACAAGCTTTTTTTTTTTTTTTTTTTTTTTGAATTATGCAGATGTAGACATGGGAACTTTCATGTGGTGAACAATGACTACACCCATTGGGAAATGTATGCTATTGGCGGGAGTGCTTCTCCAACCATCAACAGCCAAGGCAACAGATTTCTAGCACCAAATGATAGATTCAACAAAGAGGTGAGCAGTGAACATTAATTCCAGTAAAGCAAAGAATAATTTCAATTAATTACTGCAACACATTAAATTTTGTTCAGCATAATTCTTCTCGAAATCAAGATTTTGTAAGGTGAAAATTTGAGTTACTTTTTTCAGGTCACCAAGCATGAGGATGCGCCACAGAAGGAGTGGAGCAAATGGAACTGGAGGTCCTCGGGAGATTTGCTGCTAAACGGTGCGTTCTTCACAGCATCCGGTGCAGGAGCATCTTCTAGTTACGCCAAGGCATCGAGCTTGGGTGCGAGACCGTCGTCGCTCGTGAGTTCACTCACTGCCGGAGCTGGTTCGCTCAGGTGCAAGAAGGGCTCGCGTTGCTGACCATCACGGGGAAGGATAAAATGGGAAAAATAAGACCAACTGTAATTACAGCAGCTAGTGTTTTGATTTTTCTTGTATATCAGTACCAGTGTTTCGCTTTTAACCTTATGGTAATTTTCAACCTTGGCTTTTCACCTTTGAGAATTATGTGTAACTTCTTCTCAGATGTCTTGATCGTGAAAGAAACAAGGCCAAAGTGTTGATGTAATTGAATATGAAATGAAAGCAAAATTTCGTACTTTTCTCCTGAGTTTTTGAGTGTTACCGACTGTGTACAACCATATTTTATTTACGTAATGAGAGAGATGTACAACTAGTCGTTGAAACTCGGCGGATATGCATTGAGGTTCTAATTTGAAGAAGAATTTGCATGGCATAAATATCCCACGTTTGTTTTATTAGCACGAGACATCGTTGTAACGCTATAATGCTAGAGTGGCACTCACATGGGGTCGGTGCAGTGGTTACGGATGAGTTGAGCTAAAGTTGTGAGTAAATAAATGCTGTCACTGGACTGAATTTATGGGGCCACCATCTTCTTCTTCTGCAGACCAAAAGTGGATGATTTTCAACAGGATATGTACGAGTTTTGACAAATTTGCAGAACATCCAAGCGTTTCACGTTGCCTCCATCCAATCCAACAGCCACAACCAACCCAAGTGCTTACTATTAAATTTTCTGCCCCCAGTTTGCCATAAATGTTGCCACCACAATTCCTAATCGACCCATGTTATCACTGTGCCCTCCAGAATAGCAAACCATATGGTCGGCAGAGTTTCATTTAGAAATGAAAAATAAATAAATAAATGGGGCATTGCAGGTTTCTCATTCCCCACTACTTTATTTCTAAAGTTTATTTCTGAATTTAGGGGCCTACTATACGGCAATGTATCGTGTACATTATGTTATTTTACATTCTTAATCGTACATTTAACCGTTAAATTAAGCAAAATTTTATAAGTTTTGCTAATTATGATGTTGGATGCAGATATAAATCTTAGAAGCCACACATGGAAAGATTGGATCTTTATTATCTAAGAGTTCAAAATTTGCTATGAAGACAAAATCTCAAGTCCCAAGTTTTCACATATGAAATGATTTCACCATCAGACATTGAGAGCAACATGCACATTGGGAAGACTGACAAATCTTGAGCACGATGGCATCTTTCTATCAACTGGCATTGAGGTGGATCTACAAATAGACAAGGAGCTAGAAAATAAGAAAGCATTTTTTCATTTTTTTTTTTCAAGTACGATATTGATTGATGAAGAAGGAATATGTATAACTAACAATGAGCCTCGATAAAAATCTTGCCGAAAACGTCCTATCGCAAACACTCCTCAAAAAGAATATAAAAAATTACATCGAGAGTTTCCTCGTACCAAGTTACTTGATTATCGAACGACCTTGTTCCGGAATTACTGTAAGACCACGTTCGGTGGCTAGAATTGGATAGAATGTAAGTGAAAAACAAGGGTCAAGTTCCAAAATTCTTCCAAGCGGAAGGAAATAAATGGAATGATCGTGAAGGAAACTTATCCGTTATGATTCCCACAAATAGATGAAGCGATACAAGTTGATGCCAATTTTCTTCCAATTCTTCACCAATCACTTGGCCTACCTCACACCAATTAAACAAAGGGAAAGAAGAGTGACCATGCTACAAGCCACTCCAAATTCTACACACAAGTTTCCACAAGCGAACAGTACGTTCTTAAAGAGTCATTCAAAATTCTGAATCAAGCTATCAAAATTACAGAAATTCGTCCCCAGGTAAAACCAACTAGTAGTCAGAGGGGGAAATAACATCATCGATTTTTAGTATCATCTTCACCACCTGTGTTGCCAATAAGATTTGCTGCTGCTTCCCGATCAAAGTCTCGAAGACATTCTGTTTGCGCATATCATTCGTGCCAACATCGTTGCAGTCTATTCCGTAGTAGGGAATGTTCTCCTGCATTAACAGTTGAAATTGATTATCAAAATTCAGAATCACAAACCATACACACACAGAGAGAGAGAAAGAGAGAGAGAGAGAGAGAGAGTCAAGAATAGATTGGCTATCATGCTTCATTTACCTTAATCTGCTCGGCCTTCACTGCAGATAGTGTTTCGATGGGTTGAAGGCCACTATTCTCTGCAAGTGCCATAGGGACAGCATCCAAAGCATCTGCAAATGCTCTAATGGCATACTGTGGAGAAAAGGAAGATATGATCATAACATTTACTTGATACTTTTATAAAAGTTCAAAGAAAAGAGGGAGGAGACTGTCTCCATACTTGCTCAACTCCTGGGTATCGGTCTGCTGCTATCTCTGCTGATCCACCACCATAGACAATAGAATTGTTGCGGATGAGATTCCTAGCAACACAGAGGGCATCGTGGATGCTGCGCTTAGTCTCCTCTATCATCATTTTGTTACCTAATGAGTCAAAGGAAATACCAAAACCTCTTATAAGAACTCTAAATTAGGCTTGATGAATAAACATAATCACAGAAACGGATAACAAAAAGGCAGGCTAATTGAAAGGTTGCAAAATCTGCCAACCATACATAATATTCATTTCATCGGTTGACGCTACCTAATCTTATTGACATCATTTTCACTTAAGCGACATGCTGAGTCACTTTGGAAGTACCAGGAAAGATACAAGTAAAGAAACCTACCACCACGGATAAATATGGTCACAGCCTTTGAATTTGCACAGTAAGATACAAGTAAAGAAACCTACCACCACGGATAAATATGGTCACAGCCTTTGAATTTGCACAGTGTTCAATGTACAGCATGCGATCTTTGGTTGTGCCAAATGATTTTTCGCGAACTATACCGGCCTAGTGAAAGAAAAAAAACCACAAGTTAGGGTTATTATGTTTACAAGAACGGAATGTACATGGACAAACGGATATCAATCAAGAAAAATTAAAAAATATGTTGGAAAAATAACTACTTGTTATGAAACATTGCTTGCTAATTATAATTAACTAGCAAATAATAGACTTAAAGAGCTATACCTTTCCTAACTTCTCGGGTGTCAATTCTTGGAACCTGGGCACAATTCTTCCTCCTACAAATAAATAAAGACATCATTTTTTTAGTGGAGAATGATGACAAAATAGTATAAAATCCATAGACTGCTAAAAATTATATACCAAATCTCAAGTTCTATAAAGTCTTCAAAATAAGGCATACCTGTAGCTATTGCAATTAGTTCCAACTCCACACCACCAACCCATCTGACAGCAGGCAAGTTCCTGTGCATCAACAGGTGATTTGCTTCATCATCAAACCCCCATTGACAGATGACCAAGGTAGCACCGACATCCTGCAACCAATGATTATCCATAAGTACCCAGATGACATAGTAACAGAAAAGCATCCTTAATACCAAGATAACCAAATGGTAGCCATGAATTTCAGAATTTCTTTAATAGTGATAACATTATGGAAGTAGGGGATGCAATCTGACCTTGCATTTTTGGACCATGTCGTCAAAGTACTTCTGTTCTTGCAAACGTAGAGTCTGAAATTTCTCCACTGTATCAATATCAACCTTATGTTTTGTCTTTGGCTTTGGTGGCTCAAAGGGACAAGTCAAGATAGCAATTTTTGCATCTTCAATATGCTTTGGCATTTGTGGATGGCTCATATCCTTGTCAATAAGAATACCATATACCAGCTCAGTATCTTCCAACTTACCCCCAACTTTCCCCTCTACTTTTATCAAATCTAGGTTCACATCCTTCCTCTCTAAATCTGCAACAGCCATAACTGCTTTCACAGCAATCTCAGCAAGGTCACGCTTGCACCGATTCACACTACAGCATGAACAAGAAAATTTCTAATTCAAGCAAATAATGGAATGACAATAGAAGACACTTTGACACAACAATCCGTTAAAAATTTGCAAACGCAGACGGGGAGTGGAGCAATAACAGTATACCATTACAATAAACCACAAAAATTATCCAACTCTTCAAAAAGAAAGCGTGCTTCTACCAGAGTATACAATTATCCATTATATTATGATGACAAAAGCCATCATATGGCAAAGTGGTGAAGTAAATTTACCATCATAATTATGACTAGACAGCAGCAACGAATACAAGTGAAAAGAAAATCTAAAAGTTTCACTTACATCTTGGACGATAAAGTGGTCATGCAAGTTCCAACAAGAGGCTCTATATTATCCAGATCAAATTCAAATTTGTGTGATATATGCTGCAAATGGTCAAATGCTATTCTAGATGCCAATTCATATCCCTCAGCAACACGGATGGGGTGAATACCGCGCTCCAACAGTCGCTCAGCGTGCTCTAGAAGTGCACCAGCCAACACAACAACTCCAGTTGTCCCATCACCAATTTCATAGTCCTGGCTCTGGGATAGTTCAACCATCAGCTTCGCAATCTGATTGTCAACATCCATCTGCTCCAGAATCGTTGCACCATCATTTGCTGAAATACGCAAAAGAAAGGTAATGTAACACAAAGTTTATCTCAAAGCCAATATTATAAAGCCTATAATCCAGATAAGTGGGTACTTCCACCCATAATAGCCATGTTCACACTACAGGGGAGGTATAATTATAACAAAACGAGCACAAAAATGGGAAAAATAATAAGCGGACTGGGATTAATCCAACAATCAGGTAAAACGCACACTAACCCATAGCTAAGAAAAGCATATAAACTTCAAGATTAGCAATTTCAGAGTGAAAAAGATCGTGCCGGACGCCGAAAACGAAGGAAATTGAATCCAAATCACAATGAACATACAAAGACGAACACATAGATCCATACCCAAACAAAAAATAATAATCAACCAGAAATGGCGACTCAAGCAGAAACGAAGCTTCATATTCTGTGCGCGTAAGAGTTCTAGAGAGAGAGAGGAGAGAGATACTTACTGACAGTGATTTCGCCATCGGGGCTCTGGAGCATCTTGTCCATGCCCTTGGGTCCGAGGGAGGTCCGGAGGATGCGAGCAACGGCCTTGCCGGCAGAAATGTTGGCCTTCTGAGCATCGAGGCCGCGCAATCGAGACTTCTGCTCCTGCTCCCTCAGTATTATGAACGGGCGCCCGTACTCGTCGAACGCCAACGCCATTGCTGCACCACCACTCTCTTACCAAATCCGATTCACTTGTTCCTCAAACCCTCACTGCTTTTCCCTCTTCCGTTTAGGTCGAGGATCTTCGTCTCTGTTTAAGCATCTGCTTCTAGGGTTTGGGGTTTGAGATTTTGACTGTTTGAAGTGGGAAGCCCTCTGGATGTCCTGTTACTTATGGGCTTCACAAACACTATTCGGCCCAGATTGGTTTTTTGGGCCCACTCTTTATTCTTTTTGTTATATTTGAGCGAATTCACAAAGGTTATATTTGCCAATTTGTCCTCTAGAATTTGTATAGAACTGTCAATTTTCACTTGAACTTTAATTTTAGCTGATTACCATCCTAAACTTTTATAATTATCCAATTTTTCCTTTGAACTTTAATTTTAGCCGATTACTATTCTAAACTTTTACAAATACCCCAATTTTCCTCTAACGCTAGATTTTAAAATTTTTCATTTATTTTGATACATAACAATTGTATGGGCAAAAAGAATATAACGGTAGGCGTAAGTTGCCTATTTATAAAAGTTTAGGAGGTAATCGGCTAAAATTAAAGTTCTGAAGGGGTGGGAAATTAGCTTATTATAAAAGTTTATAGAGGTAATTGACTAAAATTAAAATTTATGAAAGATATTGGCAGCTTTATACAAATTCAGGAAACAAACCGACAAATACCTCAATTCACAAAAGATATTTCCAACCAAAAATAACGGCAACAACTAACAAACTGCGCGCCACGGTGCCACCGACGGCTTTCCTAGCTCTACTCCGCAACGCCCTCCACGCCCGCCAATCTCCTCCTCCCAAAAAATCCTATATATACCCACTTCTCCCCCAACCCCACCACCACCCACCGCCACTTTCCATTAACCTGCAGTGTTCTCAAACCCACCAACGAGAACCAACTGCGCGCATAACTATACCCTTTACCCTTTTAATCATACAAAATGGCACGCCAACAAGTTGTTGTTGCTCTTCTTCTGTTGGCCACCGTGGGTTTGGCCTTCGCTGCCAGCGCCCCCAGCCCCGCCGCCGCCACCAAACCCGACCTCCTAACCTTCGCTGGTGTGCCCTCGGCCGGACCAGTCCCTGACAATAACGATGTGGGAACCATTGCCGTTGGTGGCTCCGGCAATGGTGCTTCCGAGGCTCCTTCTCCTGGCGGTGACATTGGTGGCTCCGGTGCTGGTGCTTCCGATGCTCCTTCTCCTGGTGGTGCCGACAGCGTTACCGCCGGCTCTGTTGGTGGACCCGTCTCTGATTCAGCTTTCGGCTCCATTGCCAGTGGTAATGCCGAGGGTCCTAATCCTAGCGCTGCCACCGCTGGACAGCTCTCCGCGGGAGTAGCTGTTGCCGCTGGCGTCGCCGCCTCCTTCTTGTTCTAAGCTCCGTGCATGCATGCATACTGTATAATCCCCATGCAAACGTTTGTGCTCGATATTATTGTGAATAATGGAAATAAACGAGGTTCGGAGTGAGCCTAAATTTGAATAAACGAAGCATCGCTATGTTCGTTGGCAGTATATTTAGTGAGCTTAGCGGATGCTCGTACATACGTAATCGAACAAAATATTTTCGTCGTTACAAATTAAAACGTCATTCTTTTGTGTTGTAATTCTACTTGTTACCACTAGATTGTAATTGTAGTATTAAAATGGTCTAAAATACCCATAATATTCCAATATTTTCATCGAAATTTTTGTGTTTTTGGACTACCGATATTTCCGATATCATCGATATTTTAGACCTTGCTAAGTCACTCATGTATCTTACCATGCAATGTATAAAGTGTAAAATATTGTACTAATTCATTATATATAAATGATTATGGTGTGTTTAATCTTCTTTCATTAATTACTATATATTTTCTATCATCACAATGTTTGCCAACTCGCTATATAATCAACTTAAATCAGTTATATCTATCATGCAATGCATTTCCTTCCAATTTTTTATGATAAACTAATAGATGATTGACAAAATAAACATCATGCAAAGCTTCAATAAAAATTTCCAAGTTTTTCTTACAATTTTCATGGTTTTATTCAATTTTTATCGATATCGATAATATCCCGATATTTCCATCGAAATTTCCGTATTTTTGAATTACCAATATTTCCGATATCATCGATATTTTATACCTTTAAACCCTCATATTTAAGTCAGAAATTTTTGAACAAAACAACTGCGAAGAACTAGACCTCGATATATACCCGACCAATCCATCTTTAACTGTAAGAAGGTATATATTACGGTTACATGAAAGTTCTTCTCCATCGAAGACGATCCATTGGGACTCGGGGGTGTATAATTCGTTACAGCAATTCAACTAGGAGTTAAAGTGCCTTGATGCAGAATGAAGGCACTGCCAAGATCTGGTTTTAAACTGCACTGCCTAGGTAATAATCTAACCAGCTGCTAAAAAATCCACAAGATTCGTAATAGAAATCCCAGAAATAACAGAACAACGATAGCCATCGAGGCACTGGAGAGACAAACTAACAAAACATGCAAACCAAGACTCCCTGTCTACGGCTGTCACGCGCACGCTCGTATGTCCTACGATTAAACATAAGCAAAAACCATTCGCAGATTCAAATAAACATAACCAAGCAGTTTTAAAACGGCAGAGATTCCAGAGAAATGAAAGACCATCTGTGAGTTAACAGTTGCAGCTAAGAACTATGATGCAACAGAAAAACCGACACGAATGCCCTCAACTATTGATTACTGACAAACAGAGCTTCAAGATAAAAACTATAGAGCTCAAAAGACTGAAACCAAAAAGAAAACAGAAGAACCTTTCCGCTTGCCTCGTGAAAATTATTCCATCAACGGTGAATTGCACCTAGAGTATCAGTTACTTCATACAGAATAGGCAACTACAAAGCTTAACACGAAAATTACAAGGGCAGAACTCAAACAACAGCAGGACAGTACATGCACAGTTACTTTATACTAATACAGAAACTGAATACGAAAAAACAGAAAGGAGAGAAAAATGAAGATACAACGAAAGTTTATATGATGGTAATTCAAACAAAGCACAATCCTTCAATACTGCCAGCAGGAAGACATGTAAAGCAAAGCATTTCCAATGAACACCTCCCTCAAGAACGATGCAGCTTCTCATGCACTAAACATCCCAATACACCAAATTTCTAAAATACATTGTTGAGAAACCATACAACTTGTCAAAACAACCATTTCAGACAACCTCACTAAGCGATACATTGTTGAGAAATAGATGACATGAAATCTATGATGAGAGTTACAAAACTACGTCCAAAAAATGTACATAAGGAGCACAGAATATGTCTCCCTGGAGAGAAAAACAAACCCTAGTCTAAACAACTGTTTCCGTTCCAACTCATTTACAATGCAGCACTGACTTGCAACTCACAACCCCTAACCCCACACTACTCACAGTTACATATAATACAGAAAAAAGTAAGATTCTTTACAGGAAGTGGCTTCAGCAGAAACTGGCTTGTACAAATCTCACTGACTAATTACAATTTAGCACGGTGGCTTCTTGTTACAACTTATCAATGGCTCAATCCTAACTCCCTATAGTGCATAGAGCAGGCAACAACAGTTACAACACACTGAATATGTACAATTAAGCACATTGTACAAGACTTTTACAAGCTCAATGCTAAGCCTAAAATCCTAATACAGTCATAGAAACAAAAAAAGAGGGCATTACATGTGTACCTAATACAAGAAGTCTACGATTACACACAGACAGTCATTTGTTACATGCACAATGACAAGTCTCCATTAAATATTTCACTAGTTCGAGAACATTCATTTCTTTTGCACAGTTGGCAACGCATCCATAAAACACATCTTCCGCCATGTGACCAGCACAGGCTGATTCAATAATGAAAAGAAGGATTTGCCCACTCTACTCCCTGGATATGATGATTAAAAGAAAACCCGCATGTCAATAGACATCAAATAAAATAACTTTCAAGACACCACCTCATAATCTATAACGGCCACTTAAGAATAATAATAAGAGCAAGAAAGGGAAAAAGAACATAGCAACCAAAGTTAACGGTATCCAATTCATTGTGTAATTAACTTCCCAATAGGTATGAGACACATTAGACAACAATGACATCAAGTGAGTCCCTCCCCAATTGTTTTTTCTGTTTTCAGGTCAAAGCTATCCGTAACAACGTACCAATCATGCCAAAATCTCTCATGCTATTTACTCAAGATATAATATAGAAAGAGAAGAACTCCCACAATCACATGGAGCACAAGAAGTTTTCAAAATATAATATCCACAAACCCAATAAAGCAATTGTCTTGAAGAAATTAGGTAGCATAGTTATTAAACCAAGAAGATACTACTGCAGGAAATGAGTGGCCAAACCCCACAGCTATATCTTCATCGGTATGCTACTAAAAGTTACTAATTGTTTTTAAGCACACAAATATTAATAGTGACAGCTAAATGTTCTGTGGAAAGCAGTATAATAAAGCAAAGGGGGAACTGATCCTTCCCTCCTATGCACACTGGGAGAACTTACTTCTCCTTCAAGAAACCACGCTTATCGGTAGGCAGTAGGCCCGGTGAAGCCCAGAGGAAGAATGCAGATTCACTGTACGTATCAAAAGCTACATATAGTAATAGTCAGAATTTATATTCTGCAGTCTCTCAAAGACCTGCCATAGAAGGTAACGATCTAACTCTGTCACTCAGATGGCAACCGTCTCCTCTTATAATCAACATCCCTTGATCTAGACCGATGATCATCCTCTGGCACTGCTTTGGACCTGCTACGACTACGAGGTCTTGAAGAAGACTGACCTCTGTCCCAGTCATCCTCATAAACCCCATCACGATCTCTCTGCCGATGTTCTCGATAACTATCTTTTTCTTCCTTGTAACGATGCTCCCTGTGCTCCCCCCTTTCAGACCTTTCAAAGTCTTGTTCTCTACCATCACGATGCCTCCTCTCAGAGTTTCCTGACCAGTCACGCTCAGATCCCCGTTCTCTTTCCCTCGAGGCAGCACTTGACCTTGCTCCTTTCTCATTATTTGTGTCACCATATCCATACTCAGAAGCATTATCATCACCACCATAACTTGACTCCCTAGTTCTTCGACCATGTTCTTCTCCTCCCCAGGCCCCCATGCTTGGGTCATTCCACATCCCTGCGTGATGTCCCTCCATTCCAGAAGAACCCATCATCCCCATCCCATTAGCTGCCATTCCCCTGCCAAAGAAAGCTGGGTTTACATGAGGAGCCACCCCGGCAAGTCCCATTGTGTTAACACCAGGAAATTGAGGAAGCATTCCAGGAAAGGCAGGACCTGGAAACCCTCCATAACCGCCTCCTCGACCCATATATGTTGGATCAAATCCAGAACCCATCATACCCTGTGGATTCATCATTCCTACAGGACCACCAAATCCAGGACCTCCGAGGCCCTGTCCATAGCCTCCTCCATTAGCACCAGTTCCAACACCAGCAGGATTCCCAACCATATTCTTCACACCCATGGCCCCTCCTCTTCCCCTCATTGGTCCTCCACCTCCAGGACCTCTTCCTCCCTGTCCACCTCGTCCCCATCCACCCCTTCCAAAATTCCTCCCTCCTGTGTCTCCCGCTTGAAAATTCACACCTGCCCCCCTCCCAACACCATCATTCATGGGCCTTCTTCCTGGTTGCTGAGCCTGAGCCTGGCCTTGTGATTTGCTCAAATAAGAAGCTCCCATCTGTTTCAAGGTCTGCGGAGAAGCAAAAGCTACAACACAAGCTCTCCCGTTGAAAACATAACCATCCATTCCCTCTTTGCATGCAGTCGCAGCAGCTGGATCATGAAACTCAACCTGACAATACCCTTTGGACTTACCACTTGCCCTCTCGTCAAAAAACTTAATTTCCTTGACCCTTCCATACTGAGATAAAACACTTTCGATCTCAGCATCAGTTGTCCACCAATGTAGTTCTCCCACAAACAGCATAGCCGAACCATTCTCAATTGGTGGCCGGATTTGGTTTTCATTAACCATTGGACGATTAGCATTTATCTTGATACTCATTTGATTAGTCGGTATCTGTGCAGCTCCTGGAGGACCAGCAGTGCCAGGATTCAGAGACGGAATATACTCACTATTACCTTTTCCGGTAATATCAGAAGAATCAATACCGACATTTGGGGGTATAGTTGTTGACCCCTGAAACCCCATTTGTCTGACTTGAGTATCATGAGTCATCTCCATAACCCTCCCCTTCTGTGATCCAGAAGCCCCACCCACATAACCTGTGGATCCCAGTTCTGGCTCCTTCGCCACCGGTGGCTGATTCTGTTCCGGAAACTGGGCCCCAGCACCAGAATACTTCCCTTGAACTGAAACCCCAG